ATTTCTCACTTACACCGGCAAATGTCGACATTCAGCATGCACTGATGGTGAATGTTGAATAAAAATATTTTTATTACGTTAAGACAAAAATGCAACTTTTTAATATGTGAAAATAGGAGAAAGCTTAAGTAACAGCACATTTAAATAAACTGTTGAACCTAAAATGAACAGTACATTCTTAATCATCAAAGAAAATAATACAATAATAAACTTACACATAAATTATGTGATTAACATTATACAATCTTATTTATTGCAACGACTTAAACTGTTATGGCACTTTGAATTGCACAAGAGTCCCTTGCTTTTACAAGTGCATTTATTCGTGGAACACTTCTTTTTGCAATGACAGCGTGTATAGCCTTGCCCTCCACTTTTCGAATTAGTTGCAGCTGCTTCTCTCAGCCATATTTCTTGAGAAGAAATCTCATCTATGGAAAGTAACAAATTACGAACTGATCACGTTATTACGAACTGATCTGTTAATGGTGTCTTTTATTCGGATATCGCCGACGCCTTACCGACGACCCCTCTCATCCTCCGCCACTCGACAGGACAAATCGATCCCCATCTCACGGGATCAAAAGACCTTGTCTTACCTTCGGCTACCCACAAAGGATTTGGCGATAGACTATCGCCTCTCTGTCGACATCGGCTTCTCGGGTGTCGTTTCGACCTGCACCGAAGCTTATCTGTGCCTGTCGACATATACCGGCGATTGTTCGAATGTATAATAATATAACCAAATATTCGGACTTTCACCGACGTATTTTGTATGTGTCGACATTCATCGGAGAATATCGACATTCTCTAATTTCGGTCTTTCACAGTAACCTATATAATCTCTGTTAACTGATTTTTGGGCCACACTGTACATAAAGTGTGTCTCGTTAAAACATGAAAATAAGTCCAGACGATCGATAAGAAATTGATGTATCCGCGTAAAGTAGGGTCATAAACTCTAGTGTGGTCGCTTTACAGTGTCTCAATTAGAAGTGGAATCTATGACCCCACTTCTAATTCAGGAAAAAACAGAAAACACGATTCTTAACAATGGCATATCATACAATTACAATATAATGATGCCGCAGCCGTAAATGCAGGGATATACAGCGAGAGGTGGTGAAGCGAGATCCAACATATACAGTAAAACGTGCGAAAGCCGGAACCCGAGCAAGCTGAAACCTCTGAAAGATTCTCTTCTTTCGATAACATAAATAATTTTTTGTAATAAAATATCATAACAGGTAACACCACACACAATTTTAATTCTTTTTTGCCGGAAAAGTCACGCAACTCGTTTCTAGATTTCACTTTTCCGGCTGTTATGTATAATAATATTGAGGGGGAAAACATTTTTGGAGGGTGGTGTGACTCGGTATTTTGGGCCCCATCCCTCACCATCCGGCCGCCCTGTTGTGGGCCTGTACGAACGATGGGCTTTAAAAAAGGCCCTGTTAGTGCCTACAGGGAGGAAAGAGTTTAAAAAATGAATAAAATAAAATAAAAACACAGATATGCGCGGCGTTTTCCGGAACAAAAAGTAACAAGGGCACACACATCAAAGTTAAAACCAAATTGAAAGTTTGGTTATTTTAGTTCAACTCAAATCAATAGCAGTGTAATTTCGAGGAAGCTCCCAAACCCAGAAGACCCTAAAATCTTTAAAATTCGTGGTAGACAGTATTGCAGTGTTGCTTATTTATACAATAATATATTCAACTTAAATTATACACAAAGTCTATATTTTTGATGATCAAGTTCAAAGAACTTGATCATCAAAAAATAATTAATCACATCTTTACAAGTAAATTTTACTTAAAATAAGTTAATGATGATGATTAAGTTAAGTGTGAGTTAATGATGATTAACTCGTTAAGTTAAGTTTGAGTTAATGATGATTAAGTTAAGTGTGAGTTAATGACGATTAACTCACACTTAACTTAATTATCATTAACTCACACTTTACTTGATCATCAACTCACACTGTACTTGATGATCATTAACTTGGATGTTATTTTAAACAAAATTTACTTGTAAAGATGTGATTAATTATTTTTTACATGAAAATAAGAACCGAGAGTAAGCTCGTATTGATTTAAAATTGTCTCAAGTCATGAAAATTACAATTATAAATTCATGGAGAAGAATATTTGTTCCGGAAAATAATCGGATTTTATACTTTTAAGCGCTTAAACCTCTTAGTTTATTCATAGTGAAGTTTAGAATCGTTTTCCATCACATTTTCCTAATGATAATTAAGTAACACGGCATACTGACGAAAGGTTGAGCTGCCCTTCAATGAACCTTCGAAATGGATAAATCCTTCCTGTTAAGAATCGATCTCACTTCCGTCTATCGATTACTTCAACTTTAATGACGTGATATCATGGCCAATAAAGAGAATGAGCTACAAAAATTTTATTTTGAATGCAATCGATACGTTTGCACGAGCCGGAAAAAGGAGCCAAATGTATAAAACGGCTGAACGATAGTAGTCGCGGGTTCGCACCTAACCAACGAACCAGCCACGTGGAGTTTTTCCGTTCATCCTAGTGTCTAACATCTAATAAAGACGAGATGAAATTTTTTATCATTTATTTAATTTAAAATACACGCTCTCGATTTTACTATTCTCTTGCCCCTGTACTGTACATCATACTTTTCCTGATAACAACAGAATCATACCGGTCATCTATCTCATTCTGTTCTGGAGAGAATGTTTTAATTGAAATCACGTAACTTCTGCTCCAGTTCAGAAGCTCGTATATGGTTAATTAAGACCCCCCTGCCCCTAATCTTTCCATATCGGTCTCGATTTTCATGTATTTAACTCAGTTCTCGAGATTAACCACTGTCGTTAGTCTGTAATATGAAAATTGCAACCCAATCAATACTAATTATTTTTGAAAATAATACGTTATAGTTCATATATATATATATATATATATCATTATTACAGTCGAACCTGCAATAACGGACACCAGTAAATGTCGACCAAGTTTTCAGGAACTTCTTTTTCGAACAAAAAATGCAGACAAAAGAACCTCCAAATAAAAGCCACCTACGAACAGTGGCCACTTTCCACGCTCTCTTAAGTGGCCGTTGTTAAGAGGTTTGACTGTATTTGTAAAAAAAAATATATATATATATAATATCTAAATACAGCAATATATATATTTTAACGAAAAGGTTTTTACGGAATTTATTAATAGAGGATCCAGAACAGTACGCGTTATAGCTGTATGGGGCCCAGGAAAATTTGAATTAGGGGGCCCCGTGTACAGTGTTGACTTCAGACATTTTCCTTCGGAGAAGTTTTACGGGAAATATTATCTTATAAAAGGTTGATTTGGGACCCCCTGTTAGCGAAGACCCCAGACAATTGCACTTTTTGCCCATAGGACGTTATCCTATGGGCAAAAAGTACCACTTATCCAGAAATCTTTACATGGGGGTGTAGAAAGGAAACTTTGAATGCCTGAAGTACCTGGCTTTACTCGTGAACATCCCCAGAGGGTGATTGCACTGCACCCTGAGCACCCCCTAGATCCACTCAATATAAAAAAAATTTTTAAAGCATCTTCTTGTGTAAAATAAATTGAAATAAATTTCAAATTGAATATTTTTCATATTCTTTATTTAACAACAAATAAAAATAATATTTTCATATTCACATATAATAAGCTTTATAGAAAATGCTTGATGGACTTCGTGATGCTCATGCTGAAAATTACAGAATATACATAGATTTTTTTTCTTTTATATTTGAATACGAAGCATAAAAATATTTTTATTTGTGTATTTCTTTTATTTTTTATTTTAATTTCCTTGTTTATTTTTTTAAATTTTAATTTCTTATAGAGTAAATCCGTACAGTTATTGGCCATTATGTTTTTGGATATCGTTTTTAAAGTTTAAAGCACATAAAATAATTACGTTTTATATTAATTAATTCGAATATAAATGCGGATATTAATATTCAAATTGCAAATTTTAGTGTACAAATTATAGTAAAACCTGTCTAAACGGTAAAAAATTCTCCAGAACGGAGTGATTTTTTATGTTCAAAGATAATAACACGTGATATATCCTCAGCAGGTTACTCACGTTCGACAAAAAGGGTTCCCCTTCTTGCTGAAAGTAAACAAATAAAGAAAAAAAGAATTTTAATATATTTCGGTAAACCGACTTTTGGGCCACCCCGCAAAATCAATAAATCATAAATACATGTTTATAATTTTCTCATTGAAATAAAACTTGCATAAATAATTTTCATGCAATTATATGAATTTTGCTTACAGGCAGTAAGGTAAGTTATTGGTGAATGGCCAATAACTCTCTTAAGATTTATTAACTCTCTGTAAGCCTATAATTTATAGGAAGAGTCAATTTTAACAATTATGCCGAACATGCTTGCCATTTTAAACGGTATTACATTACATATTTCTTTATTTTTGGAAGTGTTAGATATTCTGTATGACGACACGACAAAGGAAAACAGTGCGAAGAAATATGGCTTCACTCTTTTGATCTCGACGGACTTCTCGTATTTACTGTCGATCTCCTGAGGAATAAAACAATACACTTGTTTACTTTTAACTAAAAAAAAAAACACATGGCGAATTTACCCGATAACGTGCGCGCAATTAAGGCGCGAGTGCGTAGGTACAGAATGACACAAAACCAGCGTAACCTGCTGTATTTTTGCACTTTACAGTATTTAGTGGCACGCGCGCACTTGAGGCCTACGAAAGTTAGCAGCATACAATACCATCTTCATTTATTTTTAAGGAAACGATTGAATAATTTGTATATTTTTATTAAGTAATAAATTGATTCGAGTGCGTTACTTAGTGGCCCACCAGTGGCCAAGCGGTTCCGTTCCCTAAACACTGGGAGTTCGGTCATGGGTTTACGCCTGCCAAGACGGGCTGGCCACGTGGAGTTTTCCGGGTTTTCTCCACGTCTGTAACGTCTGAATAGAGACCAGTTACTCTAAAAAGACCTCCCGGAAGGCATTCCCCCTAGGCAGATCGCCAAAGTGTTGCGTTGCCATAACTTAATAAAAACAAAAAGCATTACTTAGTGTTTAGGACAAGGGAAGCCTCAAAATTAGGTTGCATTTGGGGTCCTCCGAGTGCTTGATCCGTCGCTGGTTTTAATTGCAATCGAACGAGGACACAAATTTGAAACCATTTATTGTGCTTGCCGTCTTACTTTGTTTTATCTCAAAGAGATATCGCACTTTGAATCATTCTCTACAGTCTTTGTACATTCCTTCCTCTATGAGAGATGTCTCCATGATTCAGATCTGAAGAACATTACAGACTTCTCTCTTCTCTTCTATGGTGCTTTACCACAATGCAAACGACATTGAAATTGATGGCAGACATAATGAACATATTGGTTCCAAGAGCTGATTTAACCTCGTCGTTTTATTGGTATATGGCAACACGACACGTGGGCGATCTGCCGTGGAGGTATCTCCCAGGAAGACTTTCTATGGGATCCCTACTTACATGTTACTAACGTAAAGAAAGACATGAAAATCCATGTGGCCAGTGTTCACTGGTTTCATCCACTCTATCCACTGGTGGTCTTAAAGTCGCCGTTAATTTCAAATTCAATATTAAAGTCGGATTGATCGAATATGTATGGGCAAGAAGGATGCCTCTTGCCCATGCATATTACATCAAATCCGATTAAATGGATGGCAAGGAGGATGCCTCTTGGTAGGACTTTCTATGGGAAAATGGCTTCTATTTAGGAAAACCCGAACTCTAAGAGCCTTCCCACTGATTATCAGTGATTGGTGGTTTTATCTACTAGACCACTTCTGGGCCAAGTTGGTAAATAGATTTTGGGCCATCCCGTACTTCGGCAAATACAGAAATTTAAACGAAATATTCCGTTAATTCAGCAAATTATGAATAAAATCGATTTAAATTTGGCTTACCGATCACTTCAGACTTTAATCGAGCAGCCAAACTTCTACGAAACGCTAACATTTCTGGATCGATTGTTGGTTTCTCTTCTTCGTTAACCACCGTTTTGGCTGCTCTTGCCGATTTTGGTCTTTCGTTAGTCAATTGTTCGTATTGTTTTAATTGCTTCTGACGTTCTTGCTTCTTTAATGTCAATAGACGATCTCTTTGCTTACGGAGATATTCTTGACGTAATTTTGCTTCTTCTTCGTCTACCTGAAAATCAATTGGCGAAATTTATTTATTGAAATTTTTTAATGAAAAATTCAAAAAAGTTATTATAAAATCGAAGATTTTAAATACTTTTTGGGGACAAACGGCGATGTAAGAGTCGTATTTATTGGGTATTTCGGTTGGTGGTTCGATGATTTCTTGGCCACTTTCTTTCAGAGATAGTTGGATTGCCTGAAAAATATAGCATTCCAATTAATTAATTCATATTTAAATGCTATTGCCGAATTATCTTATCGATCATTTATGTCTACAATAAAAGAGTTGCCCAAATTTCCCGGCCAGACTTTAAACTTGTGTATGGCGTCATCTGTTTTATTTTAAACATTTTAAAAATATTATTAATTATTATAAACTAACCAAAAGCTTAATTTTGAAGCTAGAGATGAGTTTTATTTTAAAAAAAATTATAAGTGCTAACGAGTAAAATCGTCACTCGAGATAAGACACATGACTCCTTCTATCTCCCCACCCCGTTGACCTTTAACTATCAAAATTTAACAGCATGGATGCCCCTAATATATAAACCTCCTTGCAAAATTTCAGAAATTTTCGACAAAAGGCACAGGAGTTATTAAGCTTGAAAATGGGTGAACAAAATCGTGCCCCACTCCACATACACTAATACAAACGTCCGTACACAGAGAAAAAATCTCCAAATTTTTTGCATTTCTCGACGTTTCAAGGTCCCCAAAAATGTAAGTCTTGGGAGTCATCGCCATGTTATACGTAACAGCAAGAAAAGTAAAAAAAAAAAAAGACGTCGTAAAGCGAGCCATCTTATTAAGCAGTATCATAAGTTGTTTTCATGTAGAAACAATTATACATAATTAATTATAATTCAACATTAATTATGTTCAATTATATAATACTACGAATAGATATGCCCATGGAAAATACAGCATTTCACATAGTTATAATAGAAAATGTATACCAGTCGTAAAACGGGGATATCTTTTATATTCGAATAAAATTCTAGTTAATCGATTAATAACATTTTCTATAATTTAAATTCAAAATAACTTCAAATTAACATTATTTTTATGAAATAAATTATTATAAGTAGGCATTTCGTCCACGCCAATTATGCCAATAATATCGATTTTATACGAGTTTTAAATCTATTAACATCGTCACAATGCCGGACAAAAATTTATAATTGTCTTTTAATTTAATAAAAATCACGTAACTTCCGGTCAAGTCCGGAAGTTCGTATAGGCCTATAAGTTAATCGAGGTCTGTGACCCTAAATTTTCTATATTTGTTTAACAGACTTACAGACAGCCTCCTCTAATTGGGTCTCTCCATATGTAATTCTTAAAATATTTTTCGGTCATTTCATACTTTTACAACAATAAAATATCGATTTAATCTTAAGAATTTTCATATTTAATACATATATATTATATAGCCTATGTATATGCTCTTATGTAATAAAAATAATGCCAATAAATAAAATCACAACAACACATAAATAATTCCTCCTGTGACACTTCGGCGGGTTCAGTCCTATTGTTTATGGTGTTTTCCGATGCCACACACAATATTTTTGTAGTTTATAACAATAAAAAAACAATTGATTAACTGTCATGACTTAAAATACTGCATTTTAAATCAATAATAAATAAACTTTCTAAATAATAAGTAGGCGGCATTTATAACGTTTTTTTGTCTGCCATTTTTTATTTTCTCTGCTGTAATATGTAACACAGGGAAAGTATGGCCATCGGTCAAAATATGAGCCCCAAAATTTTTGTCATTAATCTTTCTACAAACCAAATTCTTAGTATTTTAATTGTTTTATATTATTTTACGTAAACAAGTTTTTCGTATAAAAATTATAAGGGAGAAATTTAGGGAAAAATACACATTATTACATAAAATATTTAACATTATTTTAGTAAATCCCAAATTTAATTCTTAATTTAATGCATAAGAAAATAATATTTCACTATTTAATACAAAAACATTGTATATATGCACAAGAAAATCCATAAGATCAATAAATCTATGATTAATTATCATAGTTGACTGTTCTTCCTGAGATCATGGCATTTTTGTTCCATCCAGAAGACCTTAAGACCCAACGTTACCGTTTTAGGAACATGTACAGTACAAAAAATACAGGCTAGGAAACTTACTATTTAAGAAGATTAAAGTACAGTAGACCCCCTATAACGCTTAGATACGTTCCACGCTAATCGAATTTTACGTTATAGGAACGATTAATTAAATACATGATCCAATCGCAGCCCGATAGGTGGGAACTTTACGGACTAAGGCTGTTCGAAAGGTTTTCTTCTATAAAATTAACCGATTCTAGACTAATTCGACTCAACATTTCCAAAACACGTATAATTTTTTGGGAGTAATCCGTATAAACTATGCTATAAACAAAAAATTATAGGATTACTTACCGAGTGTGTACCGTTCGACTACGCC